GGCTGGGATAGGCCCTGAACTGGATGCATGAATAAGAAAATGGATGGAGTGGGTGGAACCATTTTCTTCATATAAAAAATGAAAACCTTGCATTTGTATGCTGTGTGCGCTGACTGAAAATTAGAAATGGAATAAGGATGTGGAAATTTCTGTCAGCTAGTTCCAAGTTTACTTTTATTAGCCATCTTGCACCATCAAATACCTTTTAAAGTGGTTAATTTCACTGAAAGCATGTCCACTAATTTGTTTCTCCAGTGTTGTTACCAAAGGAAACACAAAGCGAAACAGATGTGGCCACAGTGGTAAAAGGTGAGATTCTAGAGATTAAGATAAGATAAGATTAAACTTTATTAATCCCTCGGGTGGGTTCCTCTGGGAAATTCGGTTTCCAAAAAAGCACAGCACCGACAGAAGTTACAGAATATTATATACACACACACACATATATAAATACAGAGACATATATAAATAAAATATACAAAGGGGATAAATACGAATAAAAAATAAAAATAAAAATACAAGTGAAATTGCACCTTTCGAGTATGGAGTCTATTGCACCGTTGACTATTAACAAAAGTATTGCACAGTGAGGTGAAGAGGCACTACAGCTTAGTTGTTCCCCCCTCCTTTGTCCTCCTGTCTCCCCTCCCTCTCCCCTCCAGAGAGGAGTTAAACAGTCTGATGGCGTGTGGGACAAAGGAGTTTTTAAGTCTTTTAAAAAAAAGTATTTAAAAGTTTTTATTTCAACAACTATGCCAAACTTAAGCTGGACTGTATTTGTTTTGGTAAAAGAAAAATATATTAAAAACAAGATAAAGCAAAGACAAAAGAAGTGCTGAGCATTGTGTCTGGATTCAGTGAAAAATGTTCCCATTTTGTTGCTTGTTGTTTCACAATTGATGTGAGATTTTATCAGACGTGTGCGCGTCTGTTTTGTTTTTTAATGACTTGAGCATATGAGGAACTCAAGTGTCAGTTTTTACTCTTCAGTGGAATAAAAATGACATTTATTATGTCATTACACAGTGAAAGGTCTCCAGGAAGTGATAAGAAGGAATAACACAGTAGTAAATGTTTCCTAGAAGCTCACATGAGCTGTACACTTTGATCTTTAAAAGTCGGAAGTACATGTTTGCTTTGGAAACGTGTCGTGACATGTAGGAAACCAGGAGGCCTCTGAGAGCACCAACTTTACTCAGAGCATTGTTCCACATCATTTGACCTGGAAGAAGACGTCAGAATCCTAAAGTAACGTTATATTTAAAATCCCTATATATCATTCCTAATATGCTTACATCAATGCAAACAATAGCTCTTCTATTGGCCTTGAAGGAGAGGTGCTTTCTATACGCTGACAATACCCACCATGCTTTTTCTCATTTTTTTCAGTGGATAAGTCATTAAGTTGACCCTGAAGACTTTGGGGCCTGTCAGCCACACTCGAATGGATTGTTACCATGACCCCACTCTGCACCCCTACAAAGATTTTATCAGCATCCCCTCGAAACTTTTCGAGCTACATGCTTACAGACAGAATGTGCGCAAAAATGGACCCTCCTTGGCGAAGGTAAAAACATTCTTGGCTTTATATATCTCCTTCTCCAAAGTTACGCCAACACCGATTCAACACTCACTTTGTGTCCGTCAGTCAAGTGTCCGTTCCATCTTACTGTGACATTGTGGGCCAGAAGAATTTCCCTCGAGGCTCATTACTGTAACCAATAACCTTTCAATGGGACGAGGAAAAAAAAACATTTATGGGAATCTTCTTGTCCCGATTACTCATAGGGTTGAGCACCGCATTCTGCTGTTTTGGTCATGCAACACAGAGTCAAGGTTAGTGAACGTGATGCACCTGCAACAGAATTGCAAACGTGCTTTCCTGGTATTTGCAAGGTCACGACACAAAGTAACTGAGGACATCAAAGACAAACAAGAGTGCTATTAAAGCCTCTCCAGTAGTATTGTAGATAATAAATTTAATCTCAGATAAGTCTCGAAACACATGGACAATTATGTGAAGATAAATTACAATATTGGTCTTCCTGCCAGGAACATATTTGAATTTTTTTACTGGCACAATTATTATTCACCCAAAAGGACTTCCTTCATTATGTTTCTTTGACGGGGGAATTCAACCGAGGAGTTTTGGCTCCAGCTCGCGGTGCAATATAAGCTAACAACAGTAAGGAGAAAAGAAATAACTACAAATCACACTTCAGAGTTACTGGAAGAATAAAGCATGCTGGTTCAATCAGTTTTATAGTTGCAGTTCTCCAGTCAGAGATTGATCTCTCTACACCACAGGTGTCGAACTCCAGGCCTCGAGGGCCAGTATCCTGCAGGTTTTAGACGTGTCCTTGATCCAACACAGCTGATTTAAATGACTAAATTACCTCTTCAACATGTCTTGAAGTTCTCCAGAAGCCTGCAGGACACCGGCCCTCGAGGCCTGGAGTTCGACACCCCTGCTCTACACCAACCACCTCCTTTGGCACTACTTGCACTCCTTTGCTCCTTCACACAGGGCTCTGTCATAATCTGAACCTTTTAGCCACTGGAGCTTTTATCTCAGCAAACACAGACATGCACAGACACAGGCTATGGAGCTCACCGGCTTTCATGCTTTACCATATCACTTGCTAACGGAGAACCCATTCTGCAGTGACCCAAAATAATCTGAACAGCAGTACACGCAGTCACTGTGGCTGACCAAACGTAAGCATGCATGTTATTTAACCACAGTGTGTGTGTTTGGATTAGTGGAGAAATCTCGTGAGTGGAATTCAAGCTTCTGTTGTGATCCATGACTAAAAAACCTCCAGTGAGCATGAGTGGACTCTTATGATGGACATGCTGTGACACACTTGTGCTGGGCCCCTGGGTGGCAGTTTTTAGTGTTTAACTGCTGTAAACCTGTCAGAAAAAAGGAAGCTGGAAGCAGAAATGGGAAGTACATTTAAAGGTCACAAGAGAATGTTACTGGCTGACAAACATGTGACACTGGCTGACCAATAATGCATGTGTATCCTCCTGTGGGTTGCAATACTCTGTAATGAAGCTCAGACCATCTGATGACATCCCCGTCTTTGCTGTGGTTTGGAGACTTGGAGGGCTTTTCCAGTCACTTATCTTAATTGTAATGAGGTAGTGTGCAGCAACGCTCCGCGGCCCTCTGTGAAAATGTAATTTCCCCCTAAACCCTAATAACTGGTTGTGCCACCCCATACGGAAAAGAAATAGTAAAAACTTATGTGATTACTCATGAAAGCGGCCACTTTCTCATTACTTTCATACATTGTTTTAGTAAGTATCAGAAACATACAAGTTTCATTATATAATTTTCAAATCAAATCAAATCACTTTTTATTGTCACATCACATGTGCAGGCACACTGGCACAGCACATGCGAGTGAAATTCTTGTGTGCGAGCCCCACAAGCAACAGAGATGTGTAATTTTTCAACGGATCTTATATCTGTTTTCACACTTATATGCTTTTCATACAAGTTTCACACAAGACAGATACAAACTTTATAAGATTTATATATATATCTTTTCCATATGGGACACTGGGCAGCAAGAGTTGCAATCAAGTGTCTGTAATAACTGTCAGGGAGTCTTTATTCTATTTGGGGGGATTTTGGCAAACTCTTTTTTGCAGACTGAATATCCCATTCAAGGTTATTCCAAAGTAGCCCGATCGGATTAACATCTAAAACCTCTTTTGCTTTTGAAAGCTTTCACAGGCAGGCTTGCTGGTGTGTTTTGCCTCACTGTCCTGTCACATAACACAACTGTGTTTGAGCTTCAGGCCACAAACTGATGGACGGACAGTCTGCTTCAGAATTTTCTGGAAGAATTGAACTTTTCCCGTCCTCTTCCTTTTGTTTGAATCATGAATTCTAACCTAAACTGAGACGAGTGAGGGCTCCAGTTCTCCAGCCTTCTCCCAACTTTAGATAAACAAAGTGTGGAGCGGACAGGAAAGTGGGGGCAGAGAGAGACGTGACAAAGGGCCGTGGGGCAGACTCAACCCCGGGCCGACCGCTGTGAGTTGTATGACATGTGGTCGCCTGAGCTAAACCGGCACCCAACTCGGTTACATTTTTAATAATAATAATAATAATGGATTGGATTTATATAGCGCTTTTCAAGGCACCCAAAGCGCTTTACAATACCACTATTCATTCACTCTCACATTCACACACTGGTTAAGTGACACTTTCACTTTTTTTTGGCATAACTGGCACTGTAGATGGATCTGTAAACTTTGAAGGGGTGGGGGTCAGTTTTTCTTCTTACAGTCTCTGAAGCCAGGCTTGCAACAAAAATGACTCTCGGTACTAGAGAGACCTTGAAAACTAACTAAACAAATAAATTGCCACTTTTTATGTTTGATATATTAATTTTATTTTGCATTACACAAAGCTTCAGGTAGACTAGCATAGCCAAAAGAGCTCAAAATAAACTGAACTCATTGTTTACATATAAAAATAAAGATGGCTAACAGGCTACACCATCTTCTCTTTCTACTCGTCTCGGGCTTATAAATAGCAAAATAAATTACAAAGTTCACACATCGAGCTGTTACACATTGTTAAAGCTTTAAAAGCCTTGAAATGAGCAGAACCGTTGCAACAAAGAAAGAGGTAGGTCAATTTTTTCTCCTGTAAAGGTTAATACCAGCATTTCTTTATTAAGTCTGGAGCATATTTCTGTTTTCACTTCCAGAAATAAAAATGGGTGTTTTTAAATTCAGTGCTTGTTAGTTTAGAAACACAGGTGAAACATTGTCACTTTGCTGGGAACCTATAAAGTGATAACTGACACAAGTAGATCCTAGAAGTAGCAGATAAGTCATCAATGTACTATTAGCAGCACATCATTGACAAAGGATTTAAAAAAATGTAACATTTTGTAACTAAAGTGAGGTGTTTTTTTTTTTTTTTTTTTTTTGGGCCAATTTAAAAAAAAAAAAAAAAAAAAAAAAAAAAAAAAAAAAATAAAAAAAAAAAATAGAATGACAAAACAATCTTAATGTTCAAATGAAACCAATGTTTATGGTAACAAAAAAGTGCCAAAGCCTGTCTTCAGTGCATTTAAACTAACGAAGCAACTTTCTAATACAAAAAGATTTTAAAACGAACAATACACAAGGAAAATTCTTTGGTGCCTGTGCATGATATATATATATATATATATATTTATTTATTTTTTTCTCTTAATCTCAACCTACTTTGGCACATTAACCATCTCCACCTCATTCCCTCTACACTCAGTTTTCAGCTGACTGTCAACTCTTTTCAGCTTTTGGTCTAACCTCTCACCAGCGCCGCTTGCTCCAGCGTTCGTCAGTACTGATGGAAGCTTCCGAATCTCCTCTGCTGTCGCAGATGCTATCCAGGCGTTGAGCCGTTGGTGAAGCTCTGAGGAGTTCAGCTCTGTGTTTCTTCCCTGTCTCTTCCCATCCTGAGATGGGAGCTTGTGCACAATTCGACGCAGCCGCTTGATATTTATGTTATGGTGCACAAAAAAAGCTGGGAGGATTTCTCTGAGGTAGTCGGCACCATCTGCAAAAAGTACAGACAATCAGTAGCTGATAAAGAAATGGAGCAATGCTCTGACAGCAAGATGGTAACAAGGCATTCAGATAAAACATTTTGCGTGGAAGAGCCATTCTTATTATTATAGAAACTGATAATAAGCCATCAGATATTCTTAGACTAATGCAAAGTTATGGTTATAGGTGATTTCCACACCTTGAGATATGAAAATGAAACTGTTTATTGTATTTACTGGAACTGTTCCAGGTGGAAGGAAGAAGCTGTTTGAACACAGTTGTTTTACTCCCTCTGATAACCAAAAGCCAAGTCTGTGATCACTCACTAAGAGCTGACATAAACACCCGTAAAATCATCGTCATTTTCAGATTTTCTTCCTTTCTGTTTCTTTTCAGATTTAATAAATTCGTATGCATCCTTTTGCCTTTTTAAACTGCTCATCTCACCTTTGAGATCTGCGCAGTTTGCACATACATTATTGTGCCAGGAGGAGCCCCTCAGTGCCAACTGCAGTCCTGCACCACTGCAGCTCTTGTGCTCTGTGCAGTTGTGATGAGCAGAGGAAACCTCGGAGAAGGTGCCGTCAGAGCAAGTCTGGCACACGGTGTCCTCATCAGGTGTACCTGGAAAAGGTAATGAGTACTTTGATGAAGACACCTGAGATCAGTCGTGTAACAAATGGAATATTATTTGGGATAGGTTAACAATTAACATACTAATCGAAAGGAATAAAACCAAACCCTTTTGAACTAAGTGAAATCGCCCTCGGCTCAATGTGCTAAAAATGCAGTAGGTGTAACAGTGGTCCTGCTAAGACTCTGTGTCGCTGTACCCTGAATGAATACATGTAGTTGCAGTCTTTTCCCCTGTGTGGCAGCAAACTACAGTCTTGAAATTCAAACTGAGACTGTGCACTTGCTTCAGTCCAATGCTGACAAAAAAGCAACACCTACAGCTTCCTAAAGCAATCCTGCTCTTTGTTGCTGTGTTGGCTTTTCAGTAGAAAAACCAAAAGCTGTAAGATGGCCAAGACAACTGTTGCAGGCAAAATTTAAATTGCACAGAATGTTTGCAGTGTGGGAAGAATGACAGTGTCATAAAGACTGTCAGTTTGTATTTGCTTAGTGTTCTGAAGATGTCATCTGTGCCAAAGAAACAGCGTCATTGTTGTAATATATAAATAGGCACATAATTCAGGAAGCAGGCTATTTTGAGTTGTTGTTGCCCTTTTACACAGCAGAGCGGCAGCAATTTCGATGCGTCATAGGAGGAAACCTAACAGCACTGCTATGACACCTCAAAATACGTGCTGCAGAAAACACATTTCCCTATGATGAAAAGCTCTGAGCTCATGCAGCAGCTCTGCGCACTCTACCTTTGGCCCGCACTCCTTGTCCGGGTGGACACGCGCTGTGTGGGAGGCACATGTCGTACTGCGTCTTGTAGTAGTACCCCGGTTTGCACTGGCACTGGCAGTCACTGTCCGCTGTGCACGGGGTCTTCACCACCTGATTGTGACTGCAGACTCCGCAGCGCAGGCACCTCCCGATGTGGTTCCACACCTCAGTGAAGGAGCCGTGCGGACAATTTGCGCAGTCGCTCTTCCTCTCGGACGAGCACTGAGATCGCAGGTATGTCCCAGGGGGACAGCGGTCACAGCTCACCGGCGACCCGGTGATGGGGTCTCTGCTTTCAAAGGTCATGGCCACGCTGTCGACTCGAACGACGTGCAGTGAGAGCAGCACCACCGGGAGCACCGATAACGTCATCTGGAAAGAAACGAGAAAAGTACCAACGGTGAGTGCAAGGAAACATCAAAGTCCGGCAAAATCCAAGAAGGAAATAAGAAAATAACTTCAAGGAAAACAGAAGCGTCCGACAGACACGTGGAACAGATGAATCTCTCTCTTATTGGCTACTCTTAGAAGTAGTCAAAATAAATGAAAACTGTAGGTCTCCATGCTAAAAACGTCTACCTCACATTTTTACCAAACTCAAACAAAAATCTTTACTAAACGAATAAATGCGTCCACGCGAGCTTGTTCTACAATGATTAGCGTGAGGAGGGAATCCCTCAGACGCTGACGACGTCACCTACCATTGCAAACAGCTGGGGTGTGTGCGCTGCAGCAGGATTCGTCTCTGTCAGGAGGATTGGCTTCGGCTTCCTCTCCTCGCTATTTAAGCTATGACGCCCCCGTAAAAAAATCAATACACAACTTTAGGATGCGTCATCATCACCGCATGACTCCAGCTAATTTGTATTTTAAAAAAGGCTTGTATTTATCCCCAGTTTAATTACTTCTTACAGCCTACATTTACATTTTTTTATATCATCATACAGGTTTGGGATGTCTGTATAAACACTACCTATCCATCCTGCGGGATGCTGCATTGACTGGACTCCCACCAGAATGAAGAACCTTTAAATAAAATAAAGCTGCTCCTCGGATTTTCTTTATTTCCTCTTCTTCTTCTTTTTTACTGTTCAGTTGTTTTTCTCTCTCTTTCCGGTTGGTGTTGGGTAACACTGAGCCCACGGTGCGGTTTGACAGGTGCTTTGATGTGGTAGATCCTGAAACTGTGGTGCGATGTAAGTAATGATGATACATCATGCGTTGAAACGATACTAGGGAAGCAGTCCAAGCTGCCGGGTATAAAAGTGGGTTTAAATAAAAATTACAAGCTGGGTGGTCGGAACACTCACTGTGGTGTCTGTGGAGGGGCTGAACCCTGTCCCAGCTGCTGTAGGGCGGGGAGCACCTTGGATACGCTAACACAGAAAGACAAATAACTATCCAAACCCACATGAACACCTATGGATAATTCAGAATTACCAATTAAGCTAACCCCACTAATTGCTTGTCTTGGACTGAAAACCCACGCAGACACAGGGAATACATGCAAACACCCTTCCTCCAAAAAAAAAAAAAAAACTGTTCTCCCTCAGTATTTGAAAATATTCCAACTCACAGCAGTCATTAACAAGGCCACAAATTCTTTCCTTGAAAATGTTCAAAGTGTCTTTAAAATCTAATCCAAGAGTGCGGTTGCTGCTGAGACTAGTTATCAGACTGCTCGGGGAAACACGAGGCAGATTTTACACCTTCACATCGCTCTTTACTTTGATCTCATCTCCTGCAGTAAGACTGACTTTCACCACAGAACACTGATCCTGTTGCTGTTCGGTTTTTTTTTTTTGTGAGTGATGACACCTTGTGGACTAAAGATGCTCTGTTTTACATCTTGCTCCTAAAGATATGAATCGTTTGATCTTTAATTAAAACCACGAATAAGTAGAGACTTTTTCAGATGTCTCGATTCACTGGAATGTGAGAGACCTGAGATCATGCTGATACTTACATACATTCCAGTGTGTGTATATAAAAGTGACTTAATGAAACTAGAGATAGCACAGACCGGTTTTTATTTGTTTATTAACTAACAGAGAATGTGGTCGAACTGGAGTCTTGACGACTAAGAGAGGCTGGCTGGTTTAGTTAAGCTGCACACCTGTCTAGATTTGTAAAAGTAAAAGTCAAATCTCAGCGATTTACAAATAAAAAAACCTCATAAATATTGAGTTTTACATCCGAGGCCTTGTGACATCCTCCACACTATGTGCTTGAACATATAAAAGTGATGAGCGTGTCTTTCATTGAATTTTGAGTGTTTTAGTCAACTTTGTTACATCTGTGGTGTTCCCGGTCAAACGTGAATGAACGGGAGTCCCGCCCTTTGGCCTCTGGCCCCCTGGAGGCCTACTGAATGACCCACTGAGCTGAATTTGGTGGTGAAGAATGTTTCTTGTGATCATTTAAGAGCTGTTAAAACTAACTGTTTAATTGTGACCAGAACACTAAAGTAAGGCAGGTGAGGGTGAACACAACAGGAGGGTAAATATAGTCGTACGTAGGTCAATAATAAATTAAACACATTATGACAATAAATCTCTTAATAAGGAAAAACATGAAATCAAAATGAATGCAATAATATGAATTCTATGTTTAAATAATCTTGCATGTGCCACACTTAGAGAGACTGACAGTCATTTCTGAATAATCGCACCAACAGTTGTCACCTTCTCACCAAGCTTTGTGCAGATGGTCTTGTTGGCCCTTCCAGCTGTGTGCAGCTGTATAATGTTGTCCCTGATGTAACTGATGGACTGCAGTATGTGAGCCACATGGACACACAGCCATTCTGGAGGGGATCAAATAAATCGTTCAATCACTGACATGCAAATCAGTTTATAATTTTCATGTAATGTGTTTTTTTTCTCTGAAATAAAGAATTTGGGGCTGGTGGATGGGGCCATGTACTGTAAAACCCACAGTAACGCTGTGAGGCACCTTGGAGTCAGTTTTGACCAGGACATGTCCTTCAACGCACATATTAAACAAATATGTAAGACTGCTTTCTTCCATTTGTGCAACATCTCTAAAGTTAGAAATATCCTGTCTCAGAGTGACGCTGAAAAACTAGTTCATGCATTTATTACTTCCAGGCTGGATGACTGTAATTCATTATTATCAGGAAGTCCTAAAAACTCCCTGAAAAGCCTTCAGTTAATCCAAAATGCTGCAGCAAGAGTCCTGACAGGTAGCAGATTTCTCCTGTTTTGGCTTCCCTTCATTCAAAATCCTGCTCCTCACATACAAGGTCTTAAATAATCAGGCCCCATCTTATCTTAATGACCTTGTAGTACCATATCACCCTATTAGAGCACTTCGCTCTCGCTCTGGAGGCCTACTTGTTGTTCCTAGAGTATTTAAAAGTAGAATGGGAGGCAGAGCCTTCAGTTTTCAGGCCCCTCTTCTGTGGAACCAGCTTCCAGTTTGGATTCAGGAGACAGACACTATCTCTACTTTCAAGATTAGGCTTCAAACTTTCCTTTTTGCTAAAGCATATAGTTAGGGCTGGACCAGGTGACCCTGAATCCTCCCTTAGTTATGCTGCAATAGACGTAGGCTGCCGGGGGATTCCCATGATGCATTGAGTTTTTCCCTTTCCAGTCACCTTTCTCACTCACTATGTGTTCACAGACCTCTCTGCATTGAATCATATCTGTTATTAACCTCTGTCTCTCTTCCACAGCATGTCTTTTATCCTGTCTTCCTTCTCTCACCCCAACCGGTCGCAGCAGATGGCCCCGCCCCTCCCTGAGCCTGGTTCTGCCGGAGGTTTCTTCCTGTTAAAAGGGAGTTTTTCCTTCCCAGTGTCGCCAAAGTGCTGCTCATAGGGGGTCATATGATTGTTGGGTTTTTCTCTGTATTTATGAAGCGTCTTGAGGCGACTTTTGTTGTGATTTGGCGCTATATAAATAAAATTGAATTGAATTGGATGAGACCCTCATTCCCTCAGTCACAACAATGAAAAGAGTTTTATTTATTTTTTGGTTGATATTCTTTCTCCATTTAAAAGAAACAAAAAAAACCTTGTCCTCCAGCTAATCCGGGTGAACATCAAGACGTTCCCGGTATTCCAGTCAGTCCCGACAGTTCTTATGGTATGTGGCTTCAAATCTCCCAGTTGGTGACAGTGAAAGCATTAATCACTAGTCTCTGTAACAAGACTTCAGAAACCAGTGGATGATGTCACAGGAGCTCCATTCATCTTTGTAAGTGCCAGACCTGCCTAAATGAACCACAAACCCCCCATGAGTCTTGTTTTTCTTAGCCTCCTCACCAACAACTAATAATCCTGAGAAAACAGATACTTCCCCACTGAATGTTGATTTAGAAACAAATCTGTTTGTCTCCTCCACGGTTTAGCAATCCACTTCGTACAGCTGCATGCCCTCTTCTCTCTGTCACCGTCTTCGGAAAAATAAACAAATGAATTTATTCTCTGTGTTTTTGACTACGGCTTGTTCCTAAGGGAAGGATTTCCATCATAATCACTGTTTTGCGTTCACTCACTGAAGATGATTTCATGCGTTACCATAGTTGCAGCTATTTCTAACTACACCAGGGATCCTGGGCTCTGTGACAGAAAGGAGCTGTAAACTCTGACTTCCCTGAGTTTCCCATGTTAGAATTGAATCATTTCAATCAACTCACCCTGTTGAAAAAACAACCAGTGGTAGTTTCATCCTAGGAGTCATGATGGCAATGGATAAATAATGAAGAGTGGTTGTTTTTGGTCATCTTCTATTTAGTAATCCATAATTTAATGAATGAATTCATTTACATTTGAGCTCCAAACCAAACTGTTCGCCTGTAACCTGACAGGGTCAATGCAGGCTGTAGCAGGTGAAAACAAAGAGATGAGACAGAGATGACTTAATAACATGTGGTATTTAAACCTGCTAAAGGTGAGTTGTGTTATTTTGCAGGAGAAATACATTTTCAGAGGACTCAGATGCAGAAATAAACTTAAAACTAACCTAAATTAAAGCAGGAAGCCAAAGTCTACAGTATTACAAACAAAAAAGACGAGAATATTTGAAAATAGTAGATATATTAGATAACAGACATTGAAAACATGTAGTGAGATACACAAGTGTAAAACAAATCCTAAGTAGGAAGGTGACATACAGGAAGGGAAAATGCTAACAAAGACTGAAGAGAGCAAAAATGGAGTAATCTGGGAGAAAGGAAACACCTGGAAGACAAGAAGCAGCTGAAACAGCTAATTAAGCTGGTGACAAAGGAAATAAAGTAGAACACAGAAGACAAGAGGTTATCTAAATGATTCTGCTGGAGGTTTCTTCCTGTTGAAAAGGAGTTTCTCCTTTCCGCTGTCCCATGAGCAATGAGGCAACTCATGGGAGGATGAGTGATTGCTGCAGTTTTTCTCTATCATTATAGGATCCTTACTCTATAACCTAAGGCAAACTGATGTGACTGTTGCTGTGACAACGCCAAAAAAGGAGCTTTGGACCTGTTTCTGAATATCCCTGTAATTACTGGGGGTGTGATGTTGTATTTTGACTTTGTATAGACTCTTCGTAAGGACACTTGCATGTTGTCATGGTGTATTTAGCTAAACAGTACACTTAAAGTCTAAACTGTATGAGTGGCTTAAAGGTAATGAGATAGAAAACAGTCCTTCCTAGAAAGAAACCTAAGAAACACTACTTAGGAAAAATGATTGCAAATGTGAGACGTTGTTTATAGGCCACTGAGTCAAAAGGATTCAGTTTCAGCATTCGGTAAAAACTAATGCCTCAAGAATTAGAATAGAGTAGAAGACAATGTGATAAGCATTTTTCTCCTATATTAAATCCAGAATTAAAATTTAAATCCTGCTCCTTGCACACAAGGTCTTAAATAGTCAGGTCCCATCTTATGACCTTATACTAGCATATCACCCAAAAAGAGCGCTCTCCTACTGCTGGCTGGTGGATGCTATTTTATTCAAAAGAAGTATAGGAGGCAGTGCTCAGCTTACAGGCCCGTCTTCTCTGGAACCAGCTCCCAGTTTAAACTTGTGAGACAGACACCCAAT